CTCTCTCTCTCTCTCCTTCTCTCTCTCTCTCTCTCTCTCTTCTCTCAGGTTCTCTCTCTCTGCTTCGTCTCCGTCTCTTCTCGTGCTCTCTCTCTGGTCGCTCTCTGCGAGCCTCATCTTCTCTCTCTTCTCTCTCTCTCTCCTCTCTCTCCTCCTGCCTCCCTCCCTCCTCCAACTCCCCGACTCGACCTCTCCTTCCTCCTTCCTGTCTTCTTCCTTCCTCTCTCATTATCTCATGCTGTGTCACCACCTAGCCGGACGCTCTTCCTCCCAACCCCGCCCCCATAACTCCCGCTGTTACGCAGCGGCTGAAAGCGAGGGATGTAGAGGGAGAGACTGAGCAAGAGAGAGGCGGAGAGCAAGAGAGAGAGACAGAGAGAGAGAGAGAGGGGGAGACCAAGAGAGAGAGAGAGACAAAGAGAGCCAGAGAGACAAAGAGAGCCAGAGAGAAAAATCGAGAGAGAGAGAGAGAGAGAGAGAGAGAGAGAGAGAGAGAGAGAGCGCGAGGGGATGCCTACGCTACGCTATTGCCGAGTACATGGAAATCTGGGGCCGGCAACATCATAGATAGAACTTTACGACATCACGAACAGCATAAACTATTATGGATGATGTGAAGAGTGCTATGCTCTTCCAACAGCAGGACTGTCACTGCATATAGAGGGCATTGTGGGTGGTCAGCTTGCCCATGGCTACATAATTATGCAACTACATAGGGGAGGGGGGCGAGTGGTATCGGATACAGTGGGTAACTACTCGTCAGTACATATCATAAGACATAGGGGACACTGCTAACCGTGACAGACCGCTGCACGTGCCGACACGTAGATTGGCACCGCTAACGGCGTCACCCACAGTTGCTGCATGCGCTTACGCGCACGGGAGCCTGGCACCGGCACACACTGACTCACTCATGATCACTCACCTGCAGCAGCTGTTCCTTTAGCTTGCACGCGTGCGCCTGCTGTCGCTGCACAGACCGCGGCAGCGTCTTCGTCCGCGCGACGGCCGCCGCCGCCTTCCTCTCCACCGTCACCACGTCGATCTCCTCCTCTGCAACAGCAACGTCATCACGTATCATGTAGACAACAGTCTGGCGTGCGCCGGTGATTGATTATAATCGATCACCGCTATTCGATGATGACAACGCGGCGCGAGGAAATTGCAAATGCAAAAAAATGCAGCCTTGTCGGCACTCAATCGTAAGCTCGGTTTAACCGTGCAGGTGTGGCAGTAGGTGCACTGAATGCAAGCGTGCATTACTTTTTACTTTAGATTTTTGTTATTTTATCGCAACCCCATCAAATTAATTCGTTATAATTAATAAATTACAACTAGTACAAATTACGCACATCACGTACGATTTTAGACAATCTATTTTCGGCATTTAGTAACATCTACCATTTCCGATCGACACCACGAATCAATTTGAATTCGATCACGGGACGGCCAAGACCAATTGATGATCAATGATGAAACTCAAAGCTATTCCGATGGCTAGTATGCGTGAACATACGGTACTGGGTGGGGGCGTGGCCGGGGGCGAAATTTTTTCCCCCAAACGGTATAACATAGGAAGAATTTAGCGCCTTCTGATTGGCTGGAATTTGGCAAGATGTCAGCCTCCATGACTTGTAGCCAAAATCGCGAATTATCTACCAAAAACTTTCCCGAACTTTCTGTAAGTTAGGTTAAAGTAGTTTTTTAGTATGTTTTCTTTAAAACAACATGGGTTTGAGTAAATTAACCCAAATATGCCGTTTCTGCAACGTGCATGTAGCGCATATGTAGGCCTACATTGCTGTACTACTACTATATAATTTATAAACATGTCTGCTATGAAATTGCTGTGTCTAGAGCTGCAGACCTAAGTGAACCAACTAAACCAAATGCCTGTTAATACTGCCTATATTCCACAGTGGCAACCAGTGAAACAATACACGGGGGCTCGAGGCGATTTAGCCCCCGAAATGCCAAAAAGAGCCCCGGAAATGCCAAAAAAAGCCCCGGAAATGCCAAAAAGAACCCCCGTAAATTTGCATAGAGTTCAATGCAAACCAAATTTTAGAGTGCTATTTTCATGCACGCGAGCTTGAAAAGTAAACCCGAAAAATTAATTTTAAATCAAGCAATCATAAGATTTTCAGTGTCTTTAAAATTATGCGGCAGATTTTCAGTGCCTTTAACTTTTCATGTGCCGCCGTATTCCACACTGGTGCCGTGAATGCCGCAGTAGCCTAGTGTTTAACCCTGAGGTCAGCTGAAACGTAAACTAATCGGTCCACGAACATAAACAGAAAGTAGAACAAAAACGTATTGCGTATAGACTACATATCCCGATGCCTGTTAATACTGCCGTATACGCAGAACGATGCGCAGATAATTTCCTAACTAAACCAAACTCGGCAGCTATAGTATAAGCCAAGAGGCCCAAGACCCTCTCATAACTTAAGATTAATATGAAAATAACACATTTGCACAAAGAATTGCAATTATAGTAATATTATATGTTATATTAATGAGTAAAATATGTGTTTTTCATGGAAAATACATCAGAAAACTTACTTATCTAGCGGTCATAAACCAAAACAAACATTTACAAATGGCGTTTGTTCTCTTGTTTTAAAGGTGTTCTTCAGTCAAAGCAAATCGAAGCAGCCAATCAGGCGGCGCTAAATTCTTAGATATGTTATACCGTTTGGGGGGGGAATTCCGCGGCCGGGGGGGGGAGGAAGCTGCGAGAGGCCGCGGCAAGTATCGAACGCACCGACTCGAAACGTGTTGGGGGGAGGGAGGGCGTTTGTCCGCAAGACATTGTATTCGAAATTTCGACGAACCCTTTACGACTCCCTCGGGCCATGTGCTTGGTTAATGCTCGCACTCCTCATTACGTATTAATTGCATTCCTCTCTCTCTCAGTTACGTGCGCGTGGAGTACGGCCCAGTAACCTCCCGTTCGCAACCCTCCCCTCCCCCCGCATGCATACAGAACTTGCACTAACGCCAGGTACGACGATACGCAGGTACGAACACAGCCGCAGCAGGTGCGGCTTGAGGAGGATGATAATACAGGTGCCTGCCGCGGCTGTAGCACCTGCTGCTTCGGTTCTCAGGGCCGCAGCTGAGATTCCCTCTATCTTTCCGCGGCAGCTCCTTTCTCACTCACTCCCCGCTTATCTCTCAAAGGCAGTGCTAATAATACCATAGCGCACGTGCCCACACGATATTTACACCTACCCAATATATATATATATATCAGAAGTAGATAATAGGGTTAAGAAGTTAGTAGATAATAGATTCCCTATTATCTACTTCTGATATATATATTGTAGACGGTAACCGAGGCAAGCCGTCAACCGCGCACTGTTTTGCCTTTGTTGACAATATGGAAACAAGCCAAACCCCAGGGTCTCCAGGCGGCCAGCGCCGCGCGCTACCAGCAGATGTGCGGCTGCTGCTGTTACTATAGATCACGAGAGAGGAGGGGGAGGGGAGGTCACTGGAGAGGAGGGGGAGGAAGGAAGGACACGGGAGAGGAGGGGAGGGGGAGGACATGAGAGAGGAGGAGGGGAAGGGGAGGACACTGGATAGGAGGGGGAGGAGGGGGAGGACACGGGAGAGGAGGGGAAGGACACTGGAGAGGAGGCGAGGAGGAGGAGGAGGATACGGGAGAGGAGGGGATGACATGGGAGAGGAGGGGGAGGACACGGGAGAGGAGGGGAGGACATGGGAGAAGAGGGGAAGGAGGGAGAGGACACGTGAGAGGAGGGGGAGGACACGGGAGAGGAGGAAGGGGAGGACACCGGAAGGGAGGGGAGGACACGGGAGAGGAGGAAGGAGGGGAAGGACATGGGAAAGGAGGAGAGGGAAGGGGGAGGACACGGGACGCCGCCGATTACCACCACCTCGCTATCGTCTGCATTATGCATGCGGGCCGCAACACAAAGACCATTAGCCATCGATGCGCTCGTTACACGCGCTGCCGAAGTAATGGCGTGCGGGGGTTTTTCCTGGAAGAGTTACACTGTCATGCTCGTGCGCGCTTCGCCCCCGGAATCACGGACGCGAGCAAATGTCGCAGGTGTTCGGTGCGGATCGGCTACTCTAGCGGAAGCGAGCCGTGCTCAAATCGTGCCTCACAATCGCCAATACACTCGCACTCGCAGCGCTATTTCGTGTGTGATACGGTGTGGGTCGCTTTTGCGAATCCGACTCTCATTTTTTCGATCACGAGATTAGGTTTTCTCTTTTATTCATCAACTAGTTTTATATTTATATTATTTATTTTTACTTCATTTTATCTTTCGATCACTGCTTGTAACAACTGTCTCAAAACAAGGCCCAAGATGAATGTATTCGGAGTGAAACCAATGAATAGCGAAGCTTGTACGGCACCTCTTGGAAGTATTCCAAGCCAAGCCAAGCCAGGCAAAGTATTCCGGCGGAAATCCTACAACATTATACGTCGCGTCGGTTTCTCTTCCACAGATTCCTCCTCCTCCCCTTCCCCTGCAGTCGATCGCATTCTAGTCCCCGACCACCCACAAGCCAACAGACACAGTCAAGCACGCGGAGAATTCGCGGTGTGTAGCTCTGCCGCAGACGGAGAAGCTAGAACTGACAAGTGAAACCCATCCCGCGACGCATACTCTAGACGTCGCTATCGCATCTCGTTTAGGAGTGCAGAAAGAAACGGACGAAATTGAAAGTCAATCCTAGGTTCAAGCACGCCACTTTACGCACGAAGAGCCCTCGAGCCACGCGCAATGTTCCTCGGCACGTGGACAGAGCTGCCAGCCTTATGACCCTAATTAGGGCTGCGTGCATTATTTAGGCAGAATGCGCTGTCATTATGCACTGCATTCGCGTGCACGCGTTATTTTCCTAGCCGCAACCGAGTACTACCGACGCCAAAGAACCGGAGCTATTCCATGCATGACTAACAATACAGAAACAGAAGACACAGAAATAACCTCAAGGCGTACTACACTACGTGTGCTCACGAACATACGCAATTACGCCATTAGTAGTAGACTTTAAGCTGACGACGGTCACCTACGGGTTCTATATACATCACTGGCTTACCCAACAGAAAGCTACCCTCAGCCTCCTCATCTTCATTGAGATGCCGCAGACCGCCCCCCCCCCCCACACACACGCACACATACACAGTGACACTTCAGGGACCTATCCTCCGCGCGCCAGACGAGCACGCGCTGCACCTATATGCAGCTGACGCCACGTGAGAAGCAACGAAGAGAAGAAGCCACTAGGGTTGCAATCTCCTCGTCGTCATCGTCAGCGTTGCCATCGTCGTCGCCGTCATCGTTCTTCCCTCGAGCAACAGGCACCGTTGGCGAAACTGAATCCCGGCACCAGTGCCTACCCCCCCCCCGCCGCCCATACAGGCTGAAATCTCTCAACTACTCCCCCCGCCAACCCGCGCCGCCCGCCGCCACCATGCCGCCTCGTAACGCGTTACAAATATTGAGCGTAATCGCGTAAAGATCGACGGATGGCTCGCTCGCCGCCGCTGCTGCCTCGCGGGAGCGAGAGATGGCACGCGCGCGTCTAGACGCATCCGTCCGTCCAGCGATCGATGCGCGCAGCGCTGGGTGGGACAGGGCTCCGCATCGAAAAAGCAAGAGCGAATAGCACAAAACTGTCACTAGCACTTCAACTGTGCACGACCTCTGCGCAGCGCCGCGTAGCTGTGTTGACACACCGGGGTAGACGAGTGATGCGGTGCCATTGCAGCGCTGCGCTCACACACGGGACAGACATGCGATGCGGGTACCATGGTAACGCTGTGTTCACACACCGGGGTAGACAAGCAATGCGGTGCCATGGTAACGCCATGTTCACACTATGTTACACCGCAATACGGCTGCCGGAACATGGGATCGTCCGAAAGAAGTGAACGGAGTGCAACTATAGCTAGAGCAGACTTGTGTTCGGCGAACCAGCCCGCCGAGCCGCGCAGCACAGCACAGCAGTAGTAACAGCAGCAGAGCAGCAGCCAGCAGCAGGCCGCAGCCCAGCAAGCAGCAGCA